TAATGAGACATATTTAGCAGCTGATCAGTGCTTTTGATCAGAAGGAGATAGCCTATGTTATAAATGGAGTGGATGTCGTTAAGACAGCAGCAAAGAAGCGCCACATTTTGCTAGCATCCTTGCCCAGTTCTCTTGTGCTTTGTGAAGGGTTAGAAACAGTTGTTGGGTCCCCTGTGGCTGCCTTTTGGAGCCCAGGTTGTGCATTTGTAGCTTCTGCTCTGTCTCCCAACTCACTGTGCAAGGGGAAAGTGTAGGATGCCCTAAGTGGGAAGAAATAGAACATGTGCCCAGGAACCCCAAGCCTGGCCCCTGTAAGAGCTAGAAGCTTAGAGCTGGGTGTGGTGACACCTACCTGAAATCCCAGAGGCTGGGGAGGCTGGGCCAGAAAAATCATGAGTTGGAGGCCAGCCTCAGCAACTTAGCAAGACCCTCAGCAACATGGAGAGACCCTGTCTTAAAATTTAAAAAAACAATTTTTAAAAGGTCTGGGAATGTAGTTCAGTGAATTCAATTCTCAGTACCAGAGGGAAAACAGACAAATAATAATAAAAAAAAAACACCTGGAAATTTGCTATTTCTCCAATAGAATGTCAGAGAAAGAAACATGGTGGCCACCCCCACCCCATACTGCAGATACTGGAGACCCATCACGGGTTTTTCTGTGACTATATCCTCTTCCTGGGGTAATAAGTTGGGGTAGGAGGAAAGATCATCTCTCTCTTTGAGGTCTACGTGAAAAATGCCAGAGCACTGGGATTGGAGCAGGAAAAAAAAAGTTGATTTTTGGTGCAAAACAAAGAGAAACAAAAAGCTTTCCAGATGTATCTTTTCTCCCCATTCCAGTCTTCCTCTCTCCTTAGAGGAGTCCTTTAAAAAAAAAATGGAATATTCTTCATGAAAAGAGAGAGTACCTGGAAAGCTCTGGGTGCTGGTCTCTCACTTTTGAGAAATCTCTTTTCCGGACAGAGACAAATGGGTGTGTAAACACCTTCCCAGGGCCCCCTGCTCTCCTTTTGATAACCTCACCTTCCATATCACAGCCAGGAGTGGCTCCAACTCCCACCACCCCAGCCCTAGGGGCTTCCCCCCAGCCACCTTGAGAAGGTCAGGAAAATTGGAGTCGCCCTCCGGAGCTCTGGACGTGAGACTTGGAACTTAGACGGATCTCTTTTCATTAAGCAGTGCCCCGGCTTAACAAGCAGTTTTATAAATCTGAAGCTGTCTCCGGGTGTCGCAGGATTTATAGACGGAGGTTTCTGCCATAAAGTGGTTTATGATGGCTGCCTTCTGTGTTATTAGTAGCTGTCTCTTCCTTCAACCATTGCTGTTTGATAATAGCCTTAAAACACCCAGAATTACTTACCTGCAAGCCCCATTCCCGATAGCCCCTGTTGACAGTCTGAATAAGTTTACTGCCCTTTTGTTGTACTTTACCTTCAAAACAAACTGATTGAACCATCAATAGCTCTCGGAAGCTGACAGAAGGACGTCATCTGGACTAGCCCTTGTGATTGCAGGTTATCTGGGGGAGTTAACCTTCCCGCATTGTTAACTGAAATGTTTTATGTACTATGCAACTTTAGGATACGGCTGTGATAACCCCAGTAACTAAGTAATACATCACGGTAAAGAGATTTTGGTGCAACAAATAACCCTGGATTAAATTTACAAGGGTTGAATTGATATTGTAAAAGCCTTCATTCTGTGGCTTCGGGAATCCTCTCTTGTATTTTTATGGCAAACTTGTATTACACTCAGGATTGAAGCTGCGCCTTTTGACACCCTGTCATGACCCAGAACAAAGGGAAATAGATCTCCCAAGACCAGGATGGGACAGGCAGGCAGGAAGCCCACTGACTTATCACTTGGCAATAATGTGTGGAGCCAGAGCTGAGCCATCATGGGGCAGGAGGATGTGGTAGACCAGGCCACTGTCTGAGCTGTGCGAACCACAGACACTGGGCCAGGGCGGATTGCTAGCGGGACCTGGGAAGGAGACCGTGGGCCGTCTCACCACGCTGCTCATCATTCCCAGACTGTTATTCCTCATGCTGTTATTTTCACGAGGACATTGGTGCTCAGCAGGACAGCAGCAGCAGCATCACCTGGGAACTTATTAGAAACATAAATTCCAGGCCCCACTCCAAACCTCCTGAATCAGAAACTCTGGGGATGGGGTGCAGCGACGTGTGTTTTAACAAGCCTCCGGGGGCTGCTGATGCCTGCTCAAAAGTCGAGAACCGCTGTGCTAGAACATAAGCTCATTGAGAGCAGAAACCTTCTGTTGTGTTCATCACATTTTTTTTTCCCCTCAGCAGCTCCTGGCAGGTGGTAGCTGCTCTATAATTATTTGTTGACTGTGTGAGTGAATGGAAGAAGGCACCTCTAGCAGAGGCACTTTGCACCCTGGGCCGAGCCTCACACCCCACTCTTGGCAGTGAGTCTCCCCAGTTGTCCCCAGACCTCTCTGAGCAGTGGCCCCCTGGAAGCCCAGGCTGGCCCCACAAGGTGGGAGTCCACTCACCCTGAGCTCCGGGGGTGACTGGCAGCCTGCGACATGGGCTGTCTCTTCGATTGTATGAGAAGAGCACTCAGAAAACAGCAGCTCTTTGTCATCTAAAATTTCTAACTAGCTTAAAAGCCAGCACCTCTCTCTGTCTTTCTCCTTTGATTTCAGGGCTGTGATCCAAAGTGAGGCGAAATGACAATGTGCGGTCTGTTGTCATCGAGGTTCCTGCCAGCCCCGTGAAGGCATCTTTCACTCCATCATTAAACATTGGCTGATTTTCTAATACTGATGTTTTCTTCACCTGAATATTCATCTTTTCCCACCCTACACTTAGTGGGTGTCTTTACTCCTTGGAGCGTCACTCCTGACATATTGTTGCTGTCTGTACATGTCTTTATTTGAAAGACTCTGTTGTCATCGAGACTTTGCCGCTACAAGCAGAAGATGGAAGTTTCCTCTGACAGTGTGAGGCCGGTGGGGATTCTACTGAGGAATAGAGAGGACATCGGGGCCCTTGGGGACACTTTCCTGATTTTGGAGGTGGTTAGGGGGGCATTTGGAGAGAGAGAGGCTTAGGGAGAGACAGGAAAGGGGGTGATAGATGGAGGCCAGGGAGGAAGCAGGAAGGAGGGAGTCCAACTCCAGGTCCTCAGACTTTGGGGTGGACAGTGTGCCAGAGGAAAAGCCACCCCGAAGAAGTTTTGCGCTGTTCTGACTTGGACAATGAGGAACACGAAGGCTGTCACTGGAGGCTTTTAAACTGTTATCTCTGGCTTTTGAGTGATCCCTCAGGTCTTTAATCTGGACAAATATATGAAGGGAACTTGGAGACAGGATCACCTTGAGAAGGTGGGTGGTGACTCTGGGAACGCCAGGCTCACTGCATACCCCAGGCAACTCTGCTTCCAAAAGGCTAAGTGCTTGTGGATTTTGTTCTTTGAAGTCTGTTTGAGATTTTCTGTCCCTTCTTTCCCCCTTAGATTTCAGTTATTCAGAGAGTGTTGCAGGCCTCTTTCTCTCCACTCCCATAACTGCTCTGGTCATACCCTCTGGCATTTAGCTACATTGATTTCTCATTTCTCTGTATGAATTTATCTTCCCCATTACACTAAAAACCTCTTTGACAGCGGGAACCATATTATAATCTCCTCCTTATCACTAGCACCTGGCACATAGTAGATGCTCAAGAAATATAGGGAAACTAGAATAAAGGGTTATGTTAATGAGTCTGTTCTAATGTGAGTTTTTAAGAGGTGGTGAGGGTAAACAAGGAAATTTGTCCCTGCCTTCAAGAAGCTTATAGTTTGGCTAAGGACATCAATGAACACCAAGAAAATAGAGAAGTATGGTATTGACCGTGTACTCTAGGAAAGCTGAGGGAGAAGAAAGGGATGTGGGCTAGAGGTGAAGAAGTAACTTTTGTGGAGGTTGGGGCTTGATGATGGGTGAGTACTGAGGTGGTGGGTGCAGAAAGGAAGTGACAGATTTTCTTGGAGCTAATCCATTGCTCTTGACAGTGGCTACTCACTTTTTCTACTTAAGCAGGATAGAGTCTAAACAGTTGCTTGTTTGATTGATGGAGCATGGGAACTTGATGGAAAGCGTCTGGTTTGGTAACTCACTGATGTGGGAGAAGTATAGACAGGTGTCTAGATTCTGTATGGCCAAGTATGTCTTCTCGTAAACTCCCTATCTATATCACTTAAGGAGAGTTCATCACCCACATTGCCACTGGCTTATTCCTGCAGTCCACAATGAATACCAAAGCGTCTTCGCAAAGGGAAGAGAGGCCGCTGAGCAGTTGTTGGGCTATTAATATCCCCTTTTAAATTAACTCTCCTTGCTTCTCCTCGATAATCTTCATAGTGGCAGTGTGGCTATAACCCAGTGATGATGTCCTCGGAGCAAATGTCCTCAGGATCCCTGTCTGTATCCTTGAGGAAGCATTTCTCATCTGCCCCTGTTCCTTACTTCTCCCATGGCTGTCCTGGTTATTACATTCTTGTTGATTGTCTGGATGGAAAATAAAGGTCTTGTGTCTGAGCTCCACATTGAAGACATGTTATGGTCTCAGAGATGAGACTGATGCAGAGGACTCTCAGGAAAGGTGGTGACATAAATGGTACAATCAAGGGGTAGCTCCATGTTACTGGGAGCTCCCTGTGCAGCAAGCAGCCGGGTTCACTTTCCAGAATGAAAGAAAGGGAATATATTGATAAGGTCCTAATGGCTGATTCAGGTAAGGGGCGTGGGTCTACCTTCAAGTGAAGTACAGTCATAAACATGTGTCTCTTAAGTTGACTTGTTTCTAAGATAGAACCATTTGAATGATTGTTCATACATCGTGAAAGATGAGAGGTGATTTAGCAGCTGAGATCTAAATCGCTGAAGACATACTGGTAGATTCCTAAGGCTGGTTCTGGTTCTAATTGCCTGGTTCTGGAGTCTTAGCCCCTCCCTTCCTGAGTCCTTTCTGACTCTTCTCTTCCAGATGCTTTGTTCTGCACAAGCTGCCTAACTTGAAGTTTCTGGATGCCCAGAAAGTAACCAGACAAGAAAGAGAAGAGGCATTGGTCAGAGGGGCCTTCATGAAGGTGGTGAAGCCTAAGGTGAGCTACCTACTCACTGTTCTTCATTAGGGATTTATATATCAGGGCACTGGTCACCCTCCAGAGCATGGAATAACGTCCTCCTGTGAGTTTAGAATGCAGGCTGGATCTCACATCAGGGATTCATCCATCGATGTACTTTGGGCCAAATGTGAAATGGCGTTGGATATACATTGGGTCTCCCTGGGATCCAGTGTAAGGGGGCCTTATTTGTAAAATGATCTCAACTAATAAAGCAGTACCATATGCAGCTCAGAGGGAAATCTGAGGGTGCATTTTAGGCCACCTTCCAAAGTTTCCATAGCGGGGCCTCTATAGGTCTGGAGCTAAGAAAGGAGGAAGCATTGGAATTTGCCTATTTCTGGGGTGGGAAGGATTCCTACGGTCCTCCAGAGCAGGCTCTTCTTTCTTGCAGCCAAAGGGGAGCTAGAAATGAGTGATCTCCTTCCATGACAGGGGCGAACTCTGCAGCTCCTGAGATACTGTTAGCACACAAGGTGATGCTTTCTGACAACATGTCCTGGGGCTGGCGTAGGCTCACCATGTGTAGCTCTCCAGAGGTCATCAGATGGAGTTTGCTGACCTTTCCTTTACCAGCTGAGTCTGTAGGGAGGCCATGTCCGTGACATCCTAATGGCTATTTCTATGAGGCAAGGGGAGATTAGGCTTGGGGTTTTGGATTCAGACACATGGATATTTTCTTGAAGGCATGTACAATGATCTCTTTTGGAAGAGTTTGGGTTCTTTCATGAAGACAGAGGCTGGGGAATGGACACAATGACCTCTGATGACCCATTTGGAGAACCATCAACACCCTGGAGCTCTATGGAGCTGTATAGTCACCTCCCATGAGATTGTAGTTTGTGTGTTGAAAACACCGGCACAGAAACCCTAGAGGTCTAGTTTGTCTTCACTTATTGACTTATGGCCCTCCGTACATGTCTTGCAAGTGATTAAGGGGGAGAAAGAAAAAAACAAACAAAAGCCAACCCGAGCAGAATAACGAAACCTCTTCCATCACGTTGCTCAGTTGGCAGCAGACCTCAGGCCACTTTCCTTCCCTGAATCCATGAGGTGCAACTGATTTCCCGTTATGCTGAATAAAATTGCTAACAGTTGTGGAAATATATGATACGGAGGGTATAATACTGGCAGATAAATGTATTGTTACCTGTTTCAGCATGTGGGAAATTAATCGAGTGATTCATTTCATAGCTATTAAAGTGTTATCAGTTCTCCTTATTGAGGCACAGATTTGACATATTGCCCATGACTGCCTTTAGTTATTCCAGCTTTTGTAATTTTGTCCAAATGAAAGAATTTATTTCTTGGCCTCCTTCCTTCCCTCTCTCCCTCCCTCCCCTTCCTTCTTTCCTTCCTTCCTTTCTTCCTTCCATGAAAATATTCCACAGATAGCTGACCCCAGCGAAGTACAGCGCATTAAACTCTTTGTAATATTTTGGGTCCTAACCTGCCTGCCCTACATTTCCCACCTTCATGTGCACACCATACAGAGGAGATCAGGATTTCTCCTGCTGTCATTTGCCTTTGGCGTGGGAAGCTCTACATTATCATTGGAAATCCGAGGAGTAATAATTGGAGCATCCACGGTGCTTAGATGGGGTGTTCAGTGTGTGCCTACCCTGTTCCAGGGATCTTTGTCTATAGGTTTGTGGAACTTCACGTAACCCTGTTAAGGTAGGAGAGAGGGGCCATTTGCTCACTCCTACAGATGAGGGAACTCGGGCCCAGAGAAGTTCTCCGGGCTTCCCCAGGTCACCTGGCTAGGAATTGCTAGCCTTGAAGTTGACCTCCGTCTCCCTGTTTTCTTACCCTGAACAATGAGCTAAACATTTCTCCCTGTGGATCTCTTTGTTCAAACAAAACTTCACAGGAAGGCCTAAATGAAGAAAACAGATAAAAGTAGGACTTTTTTTTTGTTCTGTAAAACAGGGGTGGAGGGAATTGGAATCCTCTCCTGCCTTTGAAAGTGACTGGGAATGGCGTCTTCAAATCTGGCGTTAGCTATTTCTCAGAGGCATTAGCAGCTTCAGTGGGAATGCTCTTCAGTGTTCCCAATTAGTTTCTAATCAATTATAGAATTGGCTCATGTTTGTGTGATTGACTCTAAAATCCTTACTAAACTTCAAAAATGCCAGTTAATTGTTTGAGGAGAGAGACAAAAATCTAAGTGTGGAGACCTCTGGTTCCCTTTTTGTAGTGTCATATGATTTCTAAACCAGAGAGGACTTCAGAAATCACTCAGCTGACTTTCTCATTTTGTGGATGTGGGACCCGGGACAGGAAGCAGCGATGGGAGCAGGCCCTACAGTCCTGAAGAGGCACTTCTGGGACCAGACCCGGGGTCTTGGGCTTCTGGTTAGGTGTTGTATTTCCACTATGCCCCTTGGAGAGCACAAGCGGATTCAGTGTTAGTGGTTTTGCATCACACCGCATGCCTCTTGAGTGACAGGCGATTCCCTGTTGTTTTCAGAGATCCACAGTGAGAAAAAGAGCTCCTTGCTGAATTAATAAATTGCCTGAAAAAGGCTGGTCCTGGCCTCCTCACAGTGTGCACTCTCTGTTCCTAGGCACGTGTGTATAGCCACAGTCTGTCTCTGTGCACATATGCATATGTATGCTCAGGGAGGCCTGTGTACACCCAGAGTCGGCTTCTAAGAGAAGAACAATTTCCTCCCTGTGAATTGCCGAGGCTGTGCAGAGCACACGTGGCCAAGACCTATTTTTCATAAAGGAATCCGAATCTCAAGTTGGCTCTGTCCTTTCGGAGATGGCAGCGGCCTGTTGTGCTTATTCAGCAGAATGTGCTGATGGATGATCAAGGGGGCCGTGATTTGGGGAGCTGTTTTCATTTTATTCCTGACATAAAGTATTTGGGAGAATGGAAAATGCCTCTCCAGTTGCAACCCTTGCCTCGGAGGTAGGGAACGGCAGGCTGGGTGTTCTCGGCTGACGCAAATGCAAAATCAGCCAGGAACTAATAAACCCCCGTGTCACCAAGGTTTGATTGGGTACCTGGCAGGCCCTGGCACTTGAGAGCAAGTACTCTCTTCTCTCTCTCCCGATGACACGGTTCTTCCTTCATTGCTGCCTTTTGGCTTTTGTTGTATTTTTTTTGTTGTTGTTGTTGTTCTACAGAAAGATGTTGTCATTCATTGTCAACACAGAGAGCATGCAGCTGGATACAGAGAAGTGTGAGGCCCCCCACCCCGAAAGACTTCTGTAATAAACAGACCATGACCCCACCCTGGCCGCACTGGGAAACCTAGATCAAAGGAGTGCAGAGGCCCGTCCAGGAGGGCATGGGCGGCGGGCACACCAGCCCTGCACATCAGAGAGACAGCTCAAAAATCCGACAGTCAGAATTGCTTAATTATGTCCTGGCTTTGTAATTATTCATCCCTGTTCTGGCAAAGAGCACAGTTGTCATTTCTTTGACATAATTATTTAAAGCGGAGCCCTCTTGTTTACAGGCATGTATACAAAGTTGGCTACCAACTGTTTAATCTTCAGAACCTTAGAGAAACCATGGGGAGAACAGCTACGGGGGCAGCCGGCCTGAGCATCACAACCTATGTTAGAAAGTGACTGTCACGTGTGCTTTTGCTTGTCTTTGTGGCCATTCTCCTATATAAGAGAATGTAAGGTGTGGAATAGATATGTTTGGGAGTGTTGATGTGTCCTTGAAAATGTCATATCTTCCTTTGTGTGGGCATGCCTGGGTTCTCCATCATGTGTGGATTAATATATTTGGGTAGCTTTGCATAGATTGTGTATTTGTGTGTATGTATTTTGGGGTATTTGAAAGGGAGGGTATTTGTTTGTGTGTGTGTGTGTGTGTCTGTGTGTGTCTGTGTGTGTGTGTGTGTGAGAGAGAGAGAGAGAGAGAGCTAGAGGGGGAGAGCGAGGCAAAGGGAGAGAAAGCAGAGGGAGAAAGAGGGATATGCTAAAGGAATATGCTTCAGAGTGATGTGCACCCCCTGGAAATCTTTTAGTCTCATCCTTAAATGAACTGAAAGTTGAAAGTTATTTTCATCCAAGATTACCTGTTCCTGTGACTACACTGCACCATCCTGCACTTGATTCTTGGAGTGAGATCCTAATTCCCTTTCTTCCATCTGTGTCTGTGTTTTGGGGTTTCCATGAAAAAAGGCAACCGAGGAGGCTGACAGGGAGTGGAATCACAGGGGAGCCAGCTCTTTGATGGGGTGAGGGAGCCACTCACCCATTGGCATGCTAGCCCCACGAAGGCAGGAACTGGGCCCCATTCCCTCATTTCTGGTGCCTGGCCTGTAGCAGAGGCACAGTATTCAACAAAAGAACGAACTGCGAATGACAGAGCACTTTGGGAGATCCATCATGAAAGCTTGTACAGATTCTGAATTGTATATTTGTTTTTTCAGAGGATTTACCTGGAGATTATTTATGATGGGAAATTCCTCGGCTGTCATGATCCCTATGACTTGGCCCTGCCATTGGGGAGCAGTTCTGTTGAGGCAAGGGCTTGATCTGAAGCTGCCATTCCCCATCACAGGGGCCATTTCCCAAGTCTTCCTCCCCTCAGAACTCACCTGCTCACAGTAGGGCTTTGAAACATAACAAATGCCTTTTCTCAGAAAATGTGATGGGAGCCCTACAAGTCTGTGTATATTAAAATGAGGTTTTCCCTATCTTAGCTGCAACTATGTTTCGTCTGTACTCTGAAGGAGCACTACCTAGTGGCTTGATTCACTTGTTTTTTTTTTTTTATACCTGCTCTAACACTTTCCTAAGTGCTACTTTTTCCTAAACTACAGTGTGAATGTCTTTGATATTTTGTTACCCCCATCTAGTCCAATTGCAAACACATGAAAGGTTATCAGAAACTGCTTTTAGATTTATTACAATTACTAACCTTTACTCTATTTTTTTACATAAAGCCAGGGCCTGCCCATAAATAAATATTGTAAACTGCAAGCACATGTCCATGCAGTTGAAGA